ATAAATAAAAGCTCCAAACCTAAGATATTTGAGTGATTTAGATTCTTAATTATTGTGTAAAATTATAATTGAGGATAAAAATATTTATATATGTAAGATTAATGGTAATAAATTTTAAATTAATCAATCTTTACTAGAAGTAAGATTAAAATATTTGAATCATTAAAAGTTGAGTTAAATATTGAATTCTCTTTACATACTTATTGCAATACTTATATTAATGCAAAAAAAACATAATTTACTATGATTCCTTTTGAATGGTTCAAAGAAACAACTCACACATCAATGTACAAAATTTTAAATTTTGTATTTTTCATATTTCACAAAAAATATTGTAATATTCAAATTGAATGAATTTGGTTTAATGGTCAATGTAAGTTGGTGTCTACTTTATAGTTTTGCATTCCTTAGCTAAGATTGTGTGTATGCAATTAGTTTTAAAGGCATGTCACATTATGTTCCATCATTCATCAATCACTTGTTAAGTTTTGGAAAGTCTTATTTTACAATTTATAGGTATTATTTTTTGATGTAACAAATCTTTATTAGTCTAAAGCTAGAATTTAAAATTACACATGATTTTCCATAACATTTGAAAGTAGAGTCTTATCAACTGTGGCTTGATTCCTATGATAATATATTTTAAGGAAATATTCTAACTTTGGAGCATATCTCAGAAAAGATTGTTTTGCAGTATCAAGTAAACAATAGTTGGAATCATGAAAATCAATGATAAGATCATTATTTGAACATTGTAGGATGACCATCAGCAGCTTAAAAACCTCTTAATTTATTATTTTACTTACATTTATTAGCACTCCATGCTTTCCAAGTGTGTTAAAATGAAATGTATGTAGCTAAAATTCAAAATAAAATGTATGTAGCTAAAATTCAAATTGAAGTAGGAAAAGACCCTCACCACAAGTTTTTGTTTTTGTTTTTGTTTGTTTGTTTGTTTTTTTCCATTGTTTATTATGATTCTCTTTTTCTTCCATTCTCACATATTACTTAACAAAGTTGAATATTAAATGGATGTTAAACTACTCAATTCTTTACAATTTGTGACGTGTTTTTAAATTTCATGTAACATATACATACCATGATGTATCAAATATGACAAACTCTATATCCCAACAAGTGGTCCTACTTATACAAAACCCACACTAATTTCATACCCCCATAAAAATATTGCAATTAATAACGGTTCTTTGCTATGCCAAATTCTTCCTAAACTTTCCACATTCCAAATGAGTCATGTTAAGAACCAAGCTTAGGGACTGATGTAAACTTTTCGTCTCAGTGAAGCCAGGCAAATAAAAAAGCAACCATCTCACCATTTTTTCTACCTCTGAACTTGTGCCATAATCTTTTTATACAATTTTTAGAATCCAAACGCTTATTTTTTAACAGCATGAATTGATAGAAAAATCCTTCAAATAATATTCCTGCCAGCATGGCTCATAATCAACATTGTTCACCTGTCATTAAGTTTTGGAGGTTTTATAATAATAGTTGTAGCAGTAGACAATAATAACAATATTATTAATCCAATATTGCTGTTTACATTATTATGAATTTCTGAACTTTAAAATTATCATTTAAATGCTTATCAGTGGATTTTTGAGAAGACATTTAAGTTGATCCTGAACACATTGCTACTATCTCAATTTACCAAATGGTGAGATGTTCAGTTTGTCATATAACTTTGTATTTTCCATTATCATATTAATTATATTTGTAAACATTCAGAAAGTTTTATCAGTCAATATTCATGTGAATAAGAAAAATAGTAAGTAAAAAGTTTTAATAAAGGATACACTCCAAGAGTATCAATTTGAATTACACTACTTTTGACTGTGGTACAAGACATCTAACCGCTTTTAATTCTATATATATACATACCATCCCAACATTTGTTTCAAACTCACCAAGAATCTTTTTGCTTTACTAAAAATATTATTTTATGTTTGAATGATTGAGTGGTAAGTTTAATTTAGTTTCGATCTTTTATTAGACTTTACCACGTATTATTTCTTAGTACTGATTTCTTTGTCAATTTATTCAACAAAATCCCAGTATCTCACAATACATCTCTTTGCAGTTCAAAGAAATAGTACCCCATTACAAAACCTGAAGGAGGGATGAAGAAACTCCCAACAGAATTGAATGAACAGTGCAAAAGATGCTGAAACATGACTTGCGGGAAGGATGGATTGACTTTTATATAACAATTGATACATCTGTATTGTTTTCCTTTAGTTCTATTTCTTTTTCGATTTTTTTGGGGGAGGGGGGACACACATGGGTTGTGAGTGTGGGCTGGGTTTGAGTGCGTGAATCTAGCACTGCAATCCAAACACAGTCTACTCCCCTGCCACTTTGGTCAATGACCCTCGTGTTCACCAAGATTGGGAATGCATTCCCAGAAGCACCACACAATGTGCTTTCCCTTTTCATTTTTCCACAACCTCTCTCTCCCCCTCTCTATCTCTCTCTCTCCATCATGGTCATGAGCACTCAGTCAGGCAGTGTGTCTGTGTGTCTGTCTGTATTTGCTTGCCTGTCTCTGTGAGTGTGAAAGCCCTTGCACAAGCAACTGACAGCAACCACCACATAGTGGCTATGGTGGGGCTACACACAAAAAAAGAAAAAAATAATAATATATATACTTTCCTTTTTGCTTGCCCTTTCTGGCTTGGACTCATGCCAAGAGGAGTGAACACTGGCATTGCATCTCATTGCATGTCATGTGTTGGTAGGGCATGCTTCCAGACTAACCTCACCACCTTTTTTTGCTAGCCTACCATCAGTTACACACACACCATACACTTTGCACAATTGGAAGAGGCAAAATGGAAAATGGGCAATGAGGAATAAAAAGTGACTCTTGTACTCACTCACACTCACACTCACTCACTCTTCCCTCTTTGCTTTTGGACGAGCATGCTGCCCACAATTCCAAAACCCATGCGCACACACGGCTCTTGGATGCAATAATATCTCCTACCAGACTGTTTTTAGGGTTTGCTGAAACACAAACCATTGTGTGTGTGTGTGTGTGTGTGTGATGTGGGCTGATAGGGAAAAGGTTGCCATCCCACTGCTGGACTGTGTAGGGAAGATCCCCCACGTATTTGTTCATTCATTCTGTGCATGGTTGCAAAGTCTCTTTTGTGGCTTTTGTGGGTTAGGAAAGGAAAGGGGATTTTGGTGGGATTGAATAAGGTTGTGCTCGAATGGGGCTGAAGTGTGTGTGTGTGTGTTTTTGTTTTTGTTGGATATGATTCATGGTATCAATGGATGTGGATTGTTGATGGGAGACAAACAAAAACAACAAGCTTTGTGAGAGGACCACTAAAGTATAATTGTTTGTTTGTTTGTTTGATTTATTTGTTTTTTGGGGGAATACTTCATATGTAGCTTGGTTCTTATCAAGCTTCTTAAACTTGATCATTGTACATATTTTTCTTTTTCAAACACTTAACAGTCTGAATAATGATTCAATTTAATTATTTTATAAAACAAAACCTTTGTGCATTCAAACTTAGCAAAACATTAAATTTTATTCGTTGATCCTAAAAAAATTAAATGACAAAAACCTTTCCTTAGATGTTTTTTTTAGCACCTTTCTCTGAATGGGTATCTTCACAACCATAAATTATTTTTCCGCATATGATTTATCTTATTTTTTTATAAAAAAGGGATGCATTTTGTTAATCTTTTAGAAAACTGAAATCTGCATTTATTATTATTTTAAAAAGGTTAGTAACTTTTGCTTGAATTTCAAAGTGTACACACAAACACACACATTTGCCATTGAAATTCCTTGGGTTGTGTTTTTTGATAATTTGAGGAAAGAAATCGAATACTCTATATTTCTTGAAAGGTTACTAAAAATGATTTGCTTTTTACACAAAGATTATTACAATTGGTATTGCTTATTAATGTTCCTCTTTTACAGTAAATGATTGTGAAAATACTCATAAAATGACTATAAATTTATAGGATTATATGTTTATTCCACATGTATTGTGAATTCCATACATGTTCAATATTTTCAAATTATTTTTTTTGTAAAACTCACAACAATCACATCATACTAAAGCATTTAACTTTCATAATCTGTTGTTTTTAGATAAAATTGTGTTTAAATAGAATAAAAATTATTTATGAGTTTATAATATACATACATACATACATACATACATACATACACACACACACACACACATGTATATTAGAAAAAAAAAGTTTTGAAATATATGTTGATGGTTTTATTTTATTTCTGTAAATTAAAAAATGTTTATCTTGATATCTTCTGAAGTGGATATGATGTATGTTACTATAGTTTATTCTATTTTATTAATAATAGTAATAAAAAAAACTGTTTTTCTGTCTTATATTCACAACTAATCCCTCCCATTCTGGATACAACATTCTAAACTTCGTTTAACTTTGTACATTGTTTTTCAAATAAGATATCAATTTATTTTAGCCTCAGGCCAATTTGTGACTTGTATCAATATTTTATTCATACAAAAGAATTCATGAAAATAGCCATGTGAAGTAAGGTATTTGCTATGATATTTTATCAGAAGATCAAAAGTTGATATTTCCTGAGCCATAAACTAATTGTATCAATAAAGTTGCATGAATAGTGTAAAAGTTAAGCCTGAGTATTTGTGGAAAAAGGAAAAGGGGAAGAAAACAGACTGCAGTAATATCACAAGTAAATGAAAACCCACTTGCAAAAGCTGATGTAACATTTAAAGTTAAATTAAACATTTCCACTATTCTAACCATTGTCATGCATTATGCAATAAATGCCAGGAGTGGACATTGATTAAAATACCAACTATTAAAACCCAATGCAGAGATAATAAAACTAGGCTGAAGAGTTAAAAAAATTGCATGTTTAAAAATATCTAACTGGTAATTTATACTGATTAGGGCTCACCATGCTTCAAAGTTGTTACAGAATGAGAACGAAGAGGATCTAGTGTGAACGGGGTCGCAGCTTGTAAACCCTAAATTTTGGACCCACTGCTTGAAAGTCGTGAGGGGTTCGTAAAATCAAACCCCCTTTGAATCGCGCGTCTGGATCGGGCTCTCGTCGTCGTTGCGTTCCGGAAACTTTCAGCTGTCAGCCATGAGTTTCCGGGTTAGTAATCCTGATTCTTTCCTCTTTTCTATGGCGTTTTCAAAATTTGTTTTATTCAAAGACGATTTGAAAAGAAAAGAAAAAGCAAAAAAAGAAAAAAACGGAAACCAAATAATTTTTTCTTAGGGTTTGGTTTTTGAGGTTGAATCTGCGTCTGCAGTCGTCGTTACGAAGCAGCTTTGAATCCAGTTCTTGTTGTCGAACACGCATTTTCTACTGATCATCTGTAATAGGATTTGGTGTCATTGAAAAATGGTCGTGAGTTTTTGAATGTCCTTTTTTTTTCCCCCCTTCTTCTTTGGTTCTGATTTGGTTCATTATTCCTTGTCAACAGTTTCACCAATACCAGGTGGTGGGGCGGGCCCTTCCAACTGCAACCAATGAGGCCCCTAAAGCTTACCGCATGAAGCTTTGGGCGACCAATGAAGTCCGCGCCAAGTCTAAATTCTGGTACTGTTGTGTTGCTTCAGTCTTGAAAGTCATTGAGGAGCACATTGTAATGTCTTTCTCTGTGTCTTCTTTGTGTCTTGAAGACGACGAAATTAGGTGTTGAGATTTTAGGTTGCAATGAAGGGAATTGTCGTTGAATTGGTGCACTGTTTTCATATAAAATTAAATAATTAACATACTTGGTCTGATTCATTTTAGCGCCGCCTAACTGCCGAATTGAGGACACTGATACATCGACATGGCGGTTTGCATCTTCTTCATCCGATTATCGGTTCTGTGCGTGAGCTCATTGCCTAAGTCTTTCGAATGTCTTCTACAGGTATTTCCTCAGGAAGCTGCAGAAGGTCAAGAAGGCCCACGGTCAACTCCTCGCGATCAATGAGGTATTCACACGCATGCTACTTTGATGTCCTATTGTGATTGAAGGTCGAGTTCTAGTGTAAGGGACAGAAATAGGAACGTAGTGAATGTGAGCTTAATCTTTTAACACATTTTATTGGTGATTAGTATTCCATCCCTAAAATGCAAACTAACTTTGTAGTCTTTGTACTCGGCTTCATGTAGTTTTGACGCTTTGTGTGTAATACTGTAGGTTTGTTCTTGTACTCGTAGTTTTGGATGCCATCTACACCTTCGCGAGATGAATATTAGCACTACTTTGTAAATCATCACTAGCATATTTTATGGGAGACTCATTCAGCGACAAACGGATGTAGAGGAAATGAGCCAGATAATCATGATACTGAATGACCCAATCGTTGTTTCAGATTTTTGAGAAGTACCCTACCACTATCAAGAATTATGGTATCTGGGTGCGTTATCAGAGTCGAACTGGCTACCACAACATGTACAAGGAGTACCGTGACCTCACTTTAAATGGAGCAGTTGAGCAGATGTATGACGAGATGGCTTCTCGTCATAGAGTACGCTTTCCGTGCATCCAGATCATCAAGACTGGGACCATTCCTGTTTCCCTCTGCAAGCGTGTCAACACTAAGCAGTTCCATAATTCCAAAATTAAGTTCCCTTTGACCACCCGCAAGATCCGTCCACCAACTAGGAGTCTGAAGACCACATACAAGGCTTCTAGGCCCAACACCTTTGTGTAGGCGTATCTATGAGAAAGGCCTTTGCCGCACGCAGTAGTAACTATGCTCAATTTGTTTGTTCCACGTTGGGGCCTCGTTTTTACCCTTCAGGTATATCTGCGTCTTGCTTAAATGGGGATACAGCTATTTAAGCCGCTTTGACATCATACCTCTTGATGTCATTAATCACAGCCTCAGATTGTTGTAACAGCTTCAAAACCAGTCAATTCAAGCTGTAGTAGATATGATCTTGCAGTTATCATGTGATTTGTGCAGTTACATAATTATATTGCAGTTTTTGAGCATTTGGTGCTATTTTGATATGTAAATCTCTGGCAATTAGAACCGGAAGGTAGTGTTTTGAACAGGCCATTTCAAGCTAGAATTTGTCTGAACTTTGGGAGCTAGGCGATCTATTTCTATGTCTTTAAGCTCTCTCAAAATAAGTGTTATTAATGGCGACATCATAACAAAGATGATTCAGAATTTGGCTTATTTGTACGCGCGCCCCTGGTTCATATGAATGGTTGGCACCAAATGTCCTTGTGTTTCGGGAAGTTGCCCCGTCCGCGGAAAGAAACATCTTGACGTGCTTCTGAGGTAATGACTGTTTGCACCTCTTTCCGCTAAATCCATATGACCATTGCAGTCACCGTCATTCTTGTCCGTGATTCACAATGAAGCGATGCGAAAGTCACATAAACGTGAACATCATTGTGGAAATGCTGGACATGGAGTCCTGTGTAGGAGCAGATGAGCTACTTGAATGAGGCAGCAGCTTAAAGTTAAAGAATGGCTTTTAATGTCCATTTTACCCTTCGCAAAACCTTGTAGCATCCCTCAATTGCCTCACCACCTGAGATATGGCAGGCTCACTACATTTCGTTGGTGAGTTATGTATATAAACGGAACGGAGAGATTTTTATCATTATTTTTGCCATTGGCTTGAGTGCGCGAAAATTTGCTACTTAATAGAAACACTCAGCTTTCTACGTAAATTCCAAACCTAAAATAACGTGCTACAAGATCTGCGCACTGATACAGTGGTCCCTATTGGTTTTAGACATCCATTCCAGCTCATAAATTATGTTACGTACGGTTCATCTACGCGACCGAAAAATGTCCTTCAAAGTGGGTTTGAGTTGTTGAACCATCCACTTCTACTTTTATTTAGGGTCTCGGAAATAATTATAAAGACACTGAATCGTCAGTAGGGAATCAAGCGCGGCAGTACGTATTTGTAAACATTGAGCAGCCGACAGTTGCCTCAATTTTTTCTTCAATGCGGCAGTCGAAACGGAACCGAAGCGAAGTAGACCTATCAGGAAACGGTCCAGAATGCTATTCCAATGTGCTGCTGTGACGTTCCAAACTGATCAGCCGACTAGGCAGCTGACAGAGCCCCGCGAAGGTTTTTATTTGTCGTTCAACCCGCCTGGGATCCGATTCTGTTGGGGGCGGTGAGGGGATTGTTTCAGCCGAATAGAATGGTTGTTTTCCCTCCTTCCCTTTCTGAATTGTAGGATATCGTTGGGGCATGTTGTTTCAAGCATTCCATACTTTATACTTTCTGCCGGTCATCGCTCAACCTCTGTTAGGACGCTCATTTCATGCTCCATGCATACAATGATCGGCTTCAGCTGCAGTGATTCTAGCGCATTTTTTCATTATCATTCTGCTGGGCTTTTAGACTACGTTGATGTGCCACCATATAATCTTTTCGAATGTCCCAAAGAACCTCAGTTGCCTTCTTCATGCTCGGTCGATCCGCCTTAGTAGGTGCCGAGCAGGCAAATGCGAGCTCAGCCAGGGGTTCAATGATGCTCAATGTAGCTGGTGTTTTCTCAATTTTAGGGTCAAGAATGTCAACCACCTTCCCTTCTACGAATTTCTTGAACGCCCATCTAACAGTAATACGTTCGTCACTCGGCCTTCTCAATTCAATTGGTCGTCTGCCAGTGAAAATCTCAACTAGCAAAATGCCGAAAGAATAAACATCACTTTTCGTATGCAGCTGATATGTGTGCAGGTATTCGGGATCCAAGTAACCTGCATTCGCCAAGACTCAAACTGAGTATTTTGAGCAACACACACGAGGCCTCGATTCAAACAGAGAATTGCCTACCAATGTTCAGACGAAGCGCCATGTTCTTCACCTGGATTTGTGGTGGAGATATCAACATCGGTGAACATAAAAGCTGATATGCACGAGAAGGTTAGCAGGGTGTATGATCAGGGGAAGTACATGATTTTGGAGGAGAAGCATCCGTAAAAGTAGAAACATCAAGCACGGCATGGTCATAGGAGTGAAAGTGTGCAACGTAGCTGGCACTGACCTGCAGTGCCTTTAACTTGAGTTGAGACATGTGTAGCCCCAGCTTCAGTGGCCGGTCCCACCCGAGAGAATCCAAAATCGGCAACCTTGGCTCGATACTTTTCCGTGATGAGTATGTTCGACGACTTGATATCCCTATGTATAATTGGCCGATCAGCGTAAAGATGGAGATATGTCAGTGCGTGTGCAATGTCTATCGCAATATCCAACCGAGTGCTCATGTCGAGTGTATTCTTGTGAGTGCCATCTAGGTGAGAACCAAGGGTGCCATTCGGAACGTACTCTACGACTAGAATACTTTCGGGTCCTTCTTCCAAATAGCCAATTAGTTTCACGAGGTTTAAGTGGTCCACCTGAGATCATGAGAAACTCGAATTGAGGACATAGAGCAGCGTAAAAGGAAAAAGACGCTGCAGCAGCAGAAGAAGATTTACTTGGGAATTCCCAGACCATTGTCAAAGGTTATGTCAGGAGACCTTCCAGAGAATTCAAAGTATTCCACGAAATTACACGTTCACGATCTGCAGCCCACGGTTGACTTTCAAAGCGAAACACACCCACGGTTCAGGTGATCTTACAATTTGCAGATGGGTTTTTTCAATAGGGGATTCGGAGAAACAGACCTGAGACAACATCTCAACCTCCGTGCGAAACTCACTCGACAGCCGATGTGCAAACTGATCCTTCCTGCCGCGCTTGATGGCCACCATCCTCCCATCCCTTAGTCTGCCTTTATACACCAAACCAAAACCCCCTTGCCCTATTTTATGGGACGGCGACCAGTTTGAAGTTGCGTGAATCATTTCCGCCAATGTAAACATCTCAGCTGCTGCTGCTGGCTTCTGCTCGAAATCATTCTCGCTTCCAAACTGCTGAAGTGCATTCAGCTTGCTACGACCGGAATCAGGCTGCGAACTTGCCGAACATTGGTCGAATAAGACCTTGAACTGCTCCTGGCCCTTGTAAGATTCAAATTTATCGCCCTTCGATACAGAGTAACAACATGAAAAGCACCCCATTGTGCTGATTCGGAGTTTGAATCACCAACTGGATTACTCCGCGGCTACCCGATATGGACAAGACAGGAGCACGAGCCTAACCTACAATGACATTTTTGAAGGCTCCCAGAGTCCGCACACAAGAGCCCCAGCCACCATAAATGACACCACCTACCAATCAAACTCGGTCATCTAAATCATTGCTGTATGACCAGTTCGGACTGAAACCATCAGTGACCCTGCATCCAGCATTGGCGGCTATGGCGTCTTTCTCAAATGCTACCTGAGAAATCTGGTGCTCATGAGCTTAATATCTACCTTGCACTTTATTGATCTTCTCATTATTGTATCTAAACTACGCATCACTTACAATACAAGTCCTGTTGAAGTTGAAACTCGTGCTTGACTTGAACCATATGGTTGAGGTGCTGTCTCGAATCCTGCTGTGGGAAACGTAGGTGTAGTTTCTTCTCACGTCTGCATAGAACATGTTCGGAGATAAGATTCACTGACAAGTCTATCTCAACATTCATTTCGGAGCACTATGAACGTAATCTAGCAATTCCCTACAAATCGAACACCTCGTACACATCTTCTACTGAAAAGCGATCTACCTATGAGGACCAGACGAGCGGAATCCCAGCATGTTCTCACGAATTAGCCGAATCCTGAGACAGCGAATTCTCTGACAAGAATGTGGATTGTTGCGCATCCTTGAACAGAACGACCCTAAAGATAGCAGCTCTCATCACTAGTAACGCTGGAGAGGGGCTCGCTCTCATGCATCAGCAATGGAGCCTGCAGCAATTGCATCGCAAAATGGAACAACTTCTACTCGGCTGCCACTCCTGCTTTAGGAGATGGAAGTTGAACCAATTGAAAAAGACAGCGATGCAAGAAGTCTGTTGTGAAAGACGAGCGGACCCGAATAATAAAAAAAAGCATCTCCGGTATAAATGCAAACGATACTAAGGACGACCTTCTCTCCCGAGCCGGTGGACGAGGACTCTCTTTTGGAAAGAAATTGTAGATGTGAGGTTGCACCGCAACTCTGGGTTCAGAACGCGGGAATTCTGAAAATTCTTTGTCTTCAAATAAATCACAAGCGAAACCGTCATCGGTACAGGATTCACGCGATTTCCTCGTGACTCTTTGGTTCGGAAGGGATTCGGACCTAGTCGTACAATTACATTGATCATGCTCTTCAGTGATGAAACAGGAATTGCGCCTGTTCGAGCTGTTATTACTCTGCAAGGATTTGTACGCTCCGCGTGTGTGCCAAGAGCTTCAGGTAAGGTGCCGATCGCTGTGTGCCTCACAATGGTTCTCGGACGAAGCTGTCGTCACAGTCGTTGCCACAGTGTACTGTCGCATCTAAGCGCCAATCTAATATTCGCACAATGTTTATACAAGAATTGGACTTCTGTAGATCCCACAGAATCCGAATTCGACATCCAAATATCGTAAATTTGGCGGGTGAGGGGCAACTCATGAGCATTAAACAGTGCCATCAGCCTAGACTGGATACAGCGTCAGCGGATGACAAGAATTGCGAGGTGGTTGGATTACACCGACCAACAATTTTGCACCATTCTCCGCCACAAAGTCGCTCCGGAAGGTGCCTGTAACTGTCAGAGATCTGAACCTGTTCAATGGATTGGTCCGTGTTAGCGACCGCACATCTAACTAAATAATACATCAACCCTTTCAAACAAGCTATTACCCGAAACATCCACATGAGATTAGGGCACAGCAGTCGCAATCCTGAAGCTCAATGACAATCCTGCAGGACCTTGATTAGGTTAGCAATGGTTACTCTAAGTACACCCTGATTGAAAGACTTCGAAGGTGATGAATCTTACAGTTGTCCTTGAGATTGAACGGATGGAGAAAGAACCTACGTAGCGTAGGCTGGTAGGCAGTTTCTGTGATTTTGCTATCACTTTGTATGCTGTTATTGTTGCTACATACCCTAAAAAGTTCGAATGAGCATTAGTGCAACACATGAATCTGAGGCACGCCATCTTACGGTGGTAGGTATCTCGGGATCGCTCTCAATTAGTCGGTGATCACGACAAGTCCATATAGACAGAAACTCACAATCTGGAATCTATACAGCAAGCATTTGTTCTCTTGGCTGACCTTTTCGGTTGCATCGAGGCAATGGTTTTGATTGCTGAGCCATCTACGAACACTGAGGCTCTCATGGTTTACTTGCACGGCCTTAAAACAGATATTCTTTCATTGTTTTGTGTAAATGAAGTCAGCTGTTGTTGTGCGAGGGGCTGTGCTTATTTTGCTTCATTGTTTAAAGATGGGAAGGGAATAGTAAATGAGTAAACATCATGTATCTGGAGGTTTGAGAACTTCAAGGATCGCAGATCTACACGAGCACAATGTGTAAGTGTTTTCTAATTTAAGGGGGATTTGCGTCAACCTAAACTCCGAGACTGAACTGCAGAATAAGACTTTCGATGCTCAAAGCTTCCATCTTATTCAAAGGGAGTGTCAGGATGCACGGCATGTCTTGTGAGAAAAAGGCAAAAGATTGTCGTTGTCTTAAAAAAGGTGAGACAGGAGCAGCTTTGAGGTGGCGTGTCCTGCCAAACCGCATCATGATTCCCTAGTCAACCCTTCTCAACAAGCTCACATGGGAGAGAAACATGTTTGCTCACCATGGAGGAAATGTTTCCCTGTAACAAACCTGAGATCAAGGAAACGAAATCTGAACCAGTCTGTCCAAAAGATATCACGAGTTGCACAGACATTGCAATTGGTGTGATTCTTTTCGTCTCGGTAAGATCGCAGTGGGTGTTTACTGGGCCACTTCTCTGTCCATCTCTTCTCTCTTTATTTTTCTAAGTTTTACTCTGCCTGCCTACGCATAGGAAGGTGACGAGAGGTTAGGAGATCAAGCTGCTAAGACGATGATAAGCCATAACTGAACGTATTCTCGCATCATTCTCGCTCTGCTATAAACTCAACTTCAGCAAGTATCAGCATAAATAGTGAGAAGCAGAACAGCAGCTTAAAAACAGCACACTCCAACATCTGCAAGATGATTGTGTGTAAAGATTCGGAATTTCTAGTAGGTTAGAGCTGAGGGTAACGGCGCCAATAGTCCAGTGATCACTCGTCGACCAACTCAACGACCCCATTAAAATGATGCTTGTGATGATTCGGTGATCATGGTTTGTGAACTGAGAAATCATTCACCTGCGCTGACCCATGGAAAGGATGGAGAGGTAACTTGGCCGACGGGCCCCAAATACTTCGCTATCTTGATGTCTTGGTTGACCATACATTCAATTCGATTGAAGCTGGGACGGATTACGTCACAATGCCACAATGCGGCATTTATTTATTGTTGCACAACAATCTCACTGGCAGTCCGTGTCCACTTCTGTGTGTATCCTCTCTAGCATTTATGAAAACCTCCAGAGTATCGGTGTAGAAGTAGACCCCTATAGCCTGTCAATCCTGCACGCATTTTCCTTTTTCTATCCTTTCTAGGTCTCATCGGTAAGCATCCCGGCAGTGCTCACCAGTGCACATGATTGAGGAGTGCATATGTTGCTTTGTGACTTAGTTCACATTATGGGTGATACACTGGCTCTTGTGGCTCAAGACTTCCCTTCTGGAGTCCTCAGTGGTACTTGCAGAGATGGTCCAGGGAATTCTTTGTATTTAAGTGATTCAGTTGTGATGGTGCTCGCAATAGAACGTATCCGTGGAGACAAAAGGAGTGGGATTCAGGAGAATTTTCCGTGGATGTATGGCATAATTCAGGTTACCGTGTCATAAAAAGGATGAGAACTCGAAGATCCGATAGTCACCATGGAATCACACATTTTCTGATGAATGCCATGTTTGGCGGTTGAAGTGTCATTAAAAGATTACGCAGAGTTCGATCTTGACGCCTGTCAGATGCAGCGCACTCGCTTCAATTCAAAGTGTGATGTCCTTGAATCTCGCGTTTGCTAGGAAAGACAGAGCATCAAAAGTACAAGACTTTTTCCGAACACGACAAAGAAATCTTTTCAGATATAACGACAACGAGCAAAAAAGAAATTAAAAAAAGAAGAAGTATTAAAATAGAGTTTTTTTTAGAAATTCAGTTAGTAGGATTATGCACAGAAGTTTATTATTAAGGTCTTACTTTGAAGCACCACATTTTTTCAGAATACATGCTCAAACTACATGCTTAGGCACTGCTCATCGAAACTTAACTGGGCCTTCGTCAAGACGTCATTACTAAACCTAATTGATCAAACTCATAGTGAGATCAAGCAAATTCACCCAGGCAGACGAATTTTTGTTTAGGATTTGTCATGAATTTGCTACCTACCATGCAGAAAACATTGTGAAATTCTGATTCTTCCAACGCTGCTGTCCATGCTCCTTCGCATCCAAGTAGAACAAGCAATTGGCGTTACTCTGCAACCATAGACACAGAAGTGATTCTAGCTCGAGGTTGAGTGTACACGATTGCATTCGCAAACACTGCTTCAAAAGCTTATCAAGCGCTAAATAGTGGATTTATCTGCATGACTTGGGAAGCATTCTGATGAATGTAATTCCACGTTTCCGAATGTGGTTGAGACAGCTAACCCTTTGCAAAGAGGATGTCTCTGTCATAACATCACGATGAAATACATAGTTTATCAAAATGTCAAATGAACATAGAACATGGGACTTAGAATCACATATACATACATAACACAAATGTGTAGTTTTACTGTAACAGTGTTACAGTTGCTGTCATTAGAAAAAGAGAGCGAGTAGTGCATAGTGTGCGGTACATATATTGTGAAGAGTGGACAATCTGTTGTCCGTTCATTCACAGAGTCTCAACCTATTAGGTAATGAAGAACATGAGGGTGACTAGAGCAGGACGACTTTCCCTGGTCAGTTCTTAGATCAGTCTGACTATGCAAGCTTTATTTTGGTGGATGTGAAGGAGATTCTAATTTTGTTTTTCTTTCCAAATGCAAATGTTGCTACTTAGCCTGTGGTCCTTCTTGGCATCACTACATCGTTTCTTCAGTTGGTTTCTGGACTAAACCTTTTTGTGGTTGTGTTCTTCTACTAGAGACGTGAGTATCGAGGTGCCTCAGCCGAAAGTGGACACATCTTCAGTTGGTGCTGGATTAGTAGATGAGAAGCGTAGCTTTTATGCCGTTCGTTGTGGACGTCGGCCTGGGATATATGTAGATTGGTTAGATTGCGAACAACAGGTGAAGGGTTATAAGGGAGCCGTTCACCGAAAGTTCAGAATTGAGAGTGAGGCAGAGCAATTTGTGTTGGGGATGTAGAACTTTGTACTCCTCTAATTTTCTGTCAATAAATCGACTGCCGGTATTCCCAGTTCTGTGCGGAGTTTTGTGAACCTCCGTTTTTCCAGTGCCTTGGTGAGTATCTCTGCGACTTGGTCCTGTGTGGGTATGTAGAATAGGTCAACTATTTCCACGAGAACATTTTCACGGATGTAGTGTAACCAGATTTCCATATGTTTTGATTTGTCATGGCAGATCGGGTCGTAGGCAGACTTTAGAGCACTCTGATTGTGGCAAAAAATGGAAATAGGTTCTTGTTCTTTGCCGTATTTTTGAGATGATAAGATCGAGAGCCAAATTGCTTCTCATATCTCTTTAGCGAGAGATCGTGCTTCGGCATCTGTAGACGAAATAGCCACAGTATATTGTTTTTTCCGATGCCCATGAGATGAGGCCGCCTGCGGATTGAAAAATCCAATCTGAGATGGACTTACTAGAAATTTTGCAGTTTGCCCAATCATAGTCGGTGTAGCCTATGATTGTGTGACTATGGTTCTTTTTGTATAAAATGCCAAATTTGATGTATCTTTTGATGTACCATAATACTTGATTCCCTGCTTAAGGTGTGGTATGAGGGGAGTGTGCATGTGGCTACTTAGGACTTCCATGGCAAATGAAATTTCAAGTTTGGTCTTAATAAGGTAGACTCATCATCCCTAATAAGGTTATCAATTTTTAGAAATGTTTTGCATCTACTAACAATGGTCTTCTTCCATTAAAATCAATGAAAGAATCTAGTTTTCCATCCAAAATTCTTGCAAGATATATGTAGTATAAGCTTGTTGTAATAAGAATATACAGGTTAGTCTTTGAATGAATTTGATCTTCAAATAAAAGTGTATTCTATTAAGATTCTTTATTTTGAAATAATTCATGATATTGTCATGGACAGACATATTTATTTCAATAATTATCTATATGATTAAATAGAAGTAAATAAAAGTAGATGAATTTTATAATATTTTTTAGAAAAGCTTTTTAGAAGTTTCATAGGCATAGTTTTGACTTTACATGTATTTGTAGTTGATTAATAGATTAAAAACTTGGTCAACAAATTAGCTTTATTTATATATATTGGAAGCTTGTTGTCAAGGACATGAACTGAAAGATGATGCATAGATTAATAAAATTTGTGTTAAAGAAAAAGTGACAAAATAAAAATAAGAATGTATATATATTAAAAAGAAACTGGAATGGCTTATTGCCAAAAGACAAGAAAACTTAGGACTCTTGAAACTATACTAGAAGCAAGAAAAGAGTTGACAAGAGTAAAGAGGGCTTCATTCTTATCTCTATATATACTATCTAACTAGGGGTTATATAGCAATGTGTCAAAGACAAAGACTCGATGAGGGAAAATATACACAAAAAGGCTATCTCGATATAATAAGTCAAAATATAAACAAGTAGGTATATTAAAAGGAAACTGGAATGGCTATTGCCACAAGACAAGAAACTAAAGACTCTTGAACCTGGACTAGAAGCAAGAAAGGAGTTGACAAGAGTGAAGAAGCCTTCACTCTTGTCTCTATATATACTATCTAACTAGGGGCTACGTGGCGACGTTCTATATGACCTCCAATATGTGTTGACTTTGTAGGACGCATGCCTTGACTTACAAGGCAAGTTTTTTTACGTGTGGGCCACATAGTTAGCTTGATCTTCAAGCTAACAACATGTGTGGCACATGGCCAACTTGTTGACCACGTTTCTAATCCAAAAAGTCAATTAAAAACACCTATGAAGTCAAAGCAGTGTCTAGGAAGTTTCTAGGAAGCTTCTATATTAAATATTATAGAATAAACTTACTTTTATCTACTTTTACTTACTTCTACCTATTTCTATATGTAATTATTAGCTTACATGATTATGGCCGTGACATTACCCCCCCTTCTAGAGATGAGTTCCACGAGGAGCGGTCATCATATGTTGAGGAAATCTATGATGCGACGAATTGTATTTGCCACATACTCTGATCTCTGTTCTCTTCGAAGATGATTGATAGGGCCTCTCAACCATCGGTAGTGTCCCATACCAGGGCGGGAAGACTACCTAGTTATTTGATCATTGTTGAGGCCTTCGTAACTTCCTTCGAATAGAATATTTGGAACACCATCAGGAGTTGTTCCTACCTCTAGCAAAATCATCAAACATCGGGAGTCCCTTCCCAAATCGTGATACCAAACGCATTGTATCTCACCATCTATTCGAGGAAGAACATGTCGTTCTTGAAGATCTTCATCTCGATTGCGTCGTCTTGAAGGTTGTGACAATCGTAATGTCTCGTCCAGTAGGTAAGCAAACGAAGGTTCTTGAGTTGAATCCGCTGGTTGTTGGCTCTCCATCTAATTAGCGTCACAAATGTAAAGAAGTTACAAACAAGGATAGGAAATTGAATGTTATCTTGCCTCAATCTTGTCTCTTTTATAAGAGAGATTTTCATCTTCGTTTCGATGGATGTCGTTGATGAAAAACTTTGACTTTAGCTGATGCATTTGCTAGATTCTTGGATGGCTACAATGTGCGTTCACTAGTATCATATCCGCGCCAATGAACAAGATATTCCAGCTTATTTCGGCGCCGCCTTGAGTCTAATATCTCTTCCACCTCAAATTCTTCATTATTATCTACTTCTATAGGAGGCGGTGGTATTTGTCTTCTTCCTTGTATATCCACTGTCTCATATGGTTCAAGAAGAGACACGTGGAATACAGGATGGATCTTCATTGACTCCGGTAGGTATAATCGATATGCAACTGGGTTGATCTGTTCAGAAACAGAAAAGGGGCCAAGCCTACAATAGTCTAACTTGTCATAAGATCGAGTAGTCTTGATATTGCGACGAAGTAGCCATACCTTATCACCCACGTTGAGTTGTGGTTGCTCCTTACGATATAGATCTACGTTTATCTTTTGTCGTTCTTGAGCTTCCTTCAATTGTGTCTTCATTATTGCATGTAACTCTGACAACCGATTTGCCATATCTTCTGCTGCAGGATTATCAACTTTTGAAAAATCAAAAGTATCAAGTCGTGGATGATAGCCATAATTGGCAAAGAAAGGTGTTTGTTGCGTGGAAGAATGTACCGTATTATTATAAGCAAACTCTGCCAATGGCAGAAGGGTTATCCAATCATCTTGTTGGTAGTTGATAGTACACCTTAAATACTGCTCCAAGACTTGGTTTACATGCTCTGTTTGTCCATCAGTTTGAGGATGGAAAGCCGAAGATAGTTTTATGTCCACTTTTAAAATCTTGAAAAGGGTCCTCCAAAATCTTGACACAAATTGAGTTCTCCTATCCGATATGATATCTTTAGGTAATCCATGATAGCGATAGATATTATCAATGAAAAGCTTAGCTGTTTCTTCACCTGTGATAGATTTTGTACATGGCACAAAGTATGCCATCTTGGTGAAACGATCTACTATCACAAATATAGAATCGTAAGATCTTGAGCTTGGAAGATCTGTGATGAAATCCATAGAAACAGAAGACCATGGTTGTTCTAATATAGGTAATGGCTGAAGAAGTCCGTAAGGTCGATGACAAGGAATTTTTGATCTTGAACAAATATCACATGATTGTACAAAGTCTTTGACTGACTTCCACATTTGTGGCCACCAAAAATCTCTTGATATGAGTTCCAAAGTCTTATTATATCCAAAGTGCCCTGCTGCTGGAAAGTCATGACGTGCTTGAAGAGCACGTAAACGTGCTTCTCCTTCTGGAACATATAGGCATCCTTCAAAATATAATAGATTATTCTTGAACTCAAACTTAGAAGGATCATGAGACTTGAAAGAATTATTCTCGATATCATGAACAAGAGGGTTTGAGGACATACTGGACTGGATTTGCTTGAAAAAAGTTGAATCAACAGTCAATGTTGATTTCATTGCTCGGAGATGAAATTGCTCCAGTTTCAAGAGGACCGTTCTTTGTTGCTCAAAAGCTGCATCTCCTTCTTTTGGTGCAAAATAAGAACGTCTAGATAGGGCATCGGATAAACCTTGTTGTTTTTCTGGCCGATAAGTGATAATGAACTCGAATCTTGACAAAGACATACTCCAACGAGCTTGACGACGATTCAACATGCGTGCTGACATGAAATACTCGAGGTTCTTGTGATCTGTATACACAGTGACTGGACTAGAAGTGCCTTCTAGATAATGACGCCATTCTTGAAAGGAATCCACGATCGCAAGAAGTTCTTTATCGTGGATCTCATAATTGATCTCGGCTGCTGAGAATTTTCTTGAATGAAAAGCTATCGAATGAAGTTTGTCATCTGTTCCCATTTGTGATAAAACTGCACCTAAGGCAAAATCTGATGCATCTGTTTCCATAAAAAATGCCTTGGAAAAGTCAACACGATATAAGATTGGTGCAGAAACAAACGATGTCTTCAAGGCTTCAAATGCTGATTCCGCTTCTTGATTCCATTGGAATTTATCTCTACTAGTCAAGCGTGTAAGTGGAGCTGCAACTCGTGAGAAATCTTTGATGAAGATCCGATAGTAATTGGCAAATCCCAAGAAACATTGGACATCTCTTACTGTCCTTGGAATCTTCCAATCCATGATTGTTTGGACTTTCTTAGAATCCATCATGAGACCATCATTTGAAATGATGTATCCTAAAAAGTCAACTTGAGTAGTGTGAAATACATACTTTTCCATCTTGGCGTACAATCTTGCATCTCTAAGTTTTTGTAATACTTGACGGACATGTATTTCATGTTCTTCGACGTTTTTAGAATAGATCAGGATATCGTCTAGATAGCAGATGACAAAATTGTCTAAGAATTCACGAAATACATCATTCATGAGATGTTGAAAAGCAGCTGGTGCATTCGTGAGTCCAAAGGGCATGACATTATATTCGAAATGTCCATACCTGGTTCGAAACGCAGTCTTCCATTCATCTCCTTCTTTGATCCGTACCAGATTATATGCTCCTCTTAGATCTATTTTTGTATAGATCTTAGCTTGATTCAACTGGTCAAGGAGTCCTGATATCAAAGGTAATGGATACCTGTTCTTGATTGTGATCTTGTTGAGTCC